GTCTACAACCTCCTTTCAGGAAGTTCTAGAGAGCTCTAATGTTACCCCTGAGCCTCCTCTTCTCCAGGCTAAACAATCCCGGAACCCTGAGCTGCTTCTCATAAGATTTACATATACTAGTATTATATAATTTAGAAGAAACTGTCTCTGCCTGAAGAGTCCTGTACATACCTTACCCTATGCCATGACACTTATATGCAGAAAAATCCCTACATCTTTTCACCTTTCTTTCCCACAGCTAGCACTGATCATGAAATCTAAAGGAGAAAAAAAAAATGAATTTTCTTCTCTTGAGTGCATATATTTTCCTAGAATCTTCAGCATTGTTGTTGTTGTCATTATTATCACTGTTCTATAATAAGTACACCAGTTATCTCAGTTGTTCTACTTTTCACAAATTCTTCTGAGGCAATTTAAAACTAAGCAAAGATCTAATGCAAAATCTTTTTTACTATTTCCTCTTTGAAACAAGAGGAGAGAGGAGATTTTTAATTTGACTGGCAAGAAGGACACAGAGGAACTGCCTCTGGAAATAATTTTTCTTCCAAAACCACACATATGCATATTAACTGCAAAGAGCCAAATATTAGGTAATATGCTCTTTGAACTCTAGAAATACTTTAATTTTAAGTAATATTTAAACTGTTCCAAAAATTCACTGAAGCCCCCAATTATTTAAGTATGGCAGGCAAAAGAAGAAAGGGCTTAAATTGGAAGTATAAAATTGCCTTGAATTGAGCTCAAAAATAATTCTGTAAGACAAAATACAGATATTTCTTGGATTAATTTACTGAAAGATATTCATTTACTGTGAAGTTCTGAGTGTTGCTTAGAGGGAAATACTGTGCGAGTAGGAACAGTGATGGAGAACTGATTCTCCTTTGCTGTTGAGTTATATTTATGGAAATTGAGAAAAGCTGGTATGTATTTCAAGCAAGAAATTTTACATTCAGGGTTTGTGTTCACCAAACAATATAGCTGGATAAAGCAGCAAACCATGCTATAAATATGTGAAGAAGAAAAAGGGCAAAAAAGATGTGGTAGGAACTTCTCAAAGTGATACCAAGGACAGTACCTGCACACAGAGCTAGGGAGTGTGCCTTGTTTAACTGTACTTGCCAGAGTAGAGAGGCTATCATCAAGCTCAGAGAAGATTAACTAAAAGCAGAACTACTCTGAACTAGAGCCAAGTGTCTTTCAGTCAGAAAGTGGAAAGTACATGTCCCTCTCAGAGCACTAGAATCCACATGAGTTCATTAATGGGCTTTATACAGTGAAAGATCCAACCCCTACTCTGGTGACTAAAAAAAACTGGATTCAGACCTCTAAGTCCAAGACAGATACATAATGTCCACACTCAATCAGCTACAGTTGTGCCCATACAACTCAACTCTGGATGTACTTTTAGCTTATTATCTGTGCAGTCTGTATCTTAATATAGTTGAAAATTTCTTTAAATGACTGAAGTCAATGCTGAAGAGAAGTAGCTCATCTAGATGCCTCATGAGTTCTGTTTCAGCATAAAGACTAGAAGAGTCACCCGTCTCCTAGAAGCTGGGTGGACCCATTCCTCTGTTCTCAGAAACTGTAACACTTGCAGGTGTGACTGATTTAAGCAAAACCTGGCAGCAAGTCTTCATCATAAAATAGGTAGAAGTGAGACAGGATTGCTTCTAGATAGGGGAAAGATCAAGGATATGCTTTCAAATGGAGATTTAACCTCAAAACCCTCAAACCTAAATCCCTCACTCCTACAAGTATGCCCTGTCTGCTATGCAGGAGAATAGTCTGCGTTATCAGCTATACGGAATCCAAACTAAGGCTTTCCGATCTGCAAGGTGGTGTCTGCTTATGCCCAGGGCAGAGGCTGGGGCTGTCACATAAGCAAAATTCTATCTCGCTCTGTAGCCAGCTTAGGCTGAGGGGATTCAGCTTCCAAAGGGAACTGTGACTATCAGCCATTAAGAGTATAATTGAAGGCACTGACATCCAAGGTAGACAAGTTTTGGTAGACTATACTCTTTGTTCCAGTACTCACATTAGGCCTGATTCAAATTAAAATACAGTTCATAAACATTGTACTTTTAAATTCAAGGCAGTGTATCTGTTCAAAATTTCCATAGTTAAAATAATGCAATTTAGGTAAGATTTACAAAGTAAAGTCTCTACACCAGAGCAAATGACACTCCTGCATATCAGCAGGTGAGTGGAAGACAAACCACTTTACTATGAATTCACTACTTATTCCAAAGTCCTTTGGTGAAACCTACTCCTTAGCACGAGGAAAGGCTGGGGACTCATCACTACCACTTGTTGGTGGGCAACTGCCACAAAGTCAAATCTCCCTACAGTGTTATCTTCTGACACACGTATCAGCCCTCCATTCTGAAGGAGACCCACTGGTACTTCAAATCCCACGCTGGAGAGAAATGAGCAATGCCTTTTTTTAAGAAATTGTTTGAGGGCTTTTGTTGTTTGGGGATTTTTTATTATTTTTATTTTCTTAAGTAAATCAAACTCTACCAAGTCACCAACCAAAATATGGTGCTTCTTCTGTTCACTATCGCGATATGTTCAACAAAGACAATGAAATATCAAAGAAATTCTAAATTCAAACTTCATGAAATTCCCCACAATCTAATTATTATTTAAGAATGAGTAAAGATATCTACTGTCACATTGTGTATCTCTGCATGTTACATTAAAATGTATCAAATTCAAATATATTAAACACAATTAAATATTTTTTAAAATTGCATTTTAAAGTCTTAAGTCATACATTTAAAGACGTTGTAGTCATTTAGCTAAATTAAACTGGACAGCATAGAAATTCAAAATAAGGTCTATACCTAGGTTTTATTCCCTTGGCATTTTACATGAAAATTTATATACGATTAACAATTTTTTTTCTAATTGCCTCAGAAATTGAACTGTTTATACACATCTTTGTGTCACATTTCACATTTTCAAACAACTAACACCCTTTTATTACAGAACAGCAGTGGAAGTATGAAAGACAACGTATCTTTATTTACACACACAAACCTGAACATAAATTCAGGCAACTTCCCCAAATACTTTATTCTGGTATCAACAGCTCTACTAAAGCAGCGGCCCTGAACTATAATGTGTGCAAGAAGCCTTGGAGGAGTAAAGGGAAGCAGAATGGAAAGGAATATCCTAAATGCCTTTATTCCCCGCATGGGAGAGAACAAATATTTTGGCAAACGCAGCACTGGAGGCTTAAACTATAAGAATAAATTGAAATAAAAAAACCCACATAACTATTCTATGTCTATTATGAATCTTCTAATTCTGGTATTGAAAAAAATATTGAAGAATAATTTTAAAATATTTTCCCAGGAAATATTAAATATTTTCAGAAGTAATTAAAAAAAAAACAACAAACCTGCTCCATTATAGTTACTATTTTTTGGTAATGTAATTTAAAACAAACAAGCTTATTCATATCAAAAATGTGAAATGCAAAGTGTTCTTTGCAATGGTCTCTGAAAGCAGTGGATCATCAGCACAAAATTCGGATGTATTCTTTCTAAAATCCATGTAATTGGACTTTGTTTCCCTTTATTTATTGTTTCTGTGTCACGTACAAATAAAAGAACTACTAAAAAGCATGGATATTTTCATTTCTCAGATTCATACCAGATTCTTAAGACCTTCTTTCAAACAGAAAATCCTAAGTGATTAAATACAATGTTTTATATTTCACTATGAAATGAGAAACAAAATAGCTCTTTGCCCAGTAACATCATTAAGGATTTAAAGCAGTATATGATACAAATTTCCTTCAAATCTATAGCTTATCGTTTGAGATGAAAATGTGACATGGGGAGAAAACTCTTTAAGACATAGAATACTTCAAACTGCAAAGCAACTGCTGTAGAAAACTGCGAGACTCAAATATACTTGTTCAAGAAAGCATAATTTAAATATTTCTACCTGATTTCTTTTTTTGTTGTTGTTAAATGACATTGCATTATATAAATTGTAATTCATGGTCTAACTTGATAACAAGAAAATATTATGAATCTCAATCACATTCCAGTGGAATGTACTATTCAATAATAATCCCATTATTAATTGTAATAATCATTTGATGATTATTCTGTTAGATGACTACACTGAAATACTATTAAGTATATGCTGTGATGTCATAGGCACAAAAACCCAAACGCAATCACCCGTATTCATTTTACCTTATAAGCATATGTTTCCCTTAGTAATAAATCAATAACATTCATGAATCATATCAGATGTCCTCTGTTTTTAAAAACATAAATTTAGATTACTTGTCATACGGAAGAACTGCCTAAATGTTCTTCAACTTTATCAGTTCATTTCTTATCAGGCTTCCGAACCATCTCCTAATTTTGTCTTTCATGTTCAGTATCTGCTCTCCAAGCACATAATTCTGAGCCATTTAAGTTGCTCAAGAAACCGAAAGGAAGTTTTGCCTGAGCAATAACTAAAGAACTGGATCTTCAGCTTAGAGAGATTTTTGTTTCTTGCTCTTTCACAGGACAACTCCTTCACATTGCTTATAGCATTTATTATCTTCATATTGGACACCTAGATGTGTTTCTCTTGGAATCTCCATGCTTCCTCTATGACTGAGCAAGTCTTCTTTTCAACTACAAACCCCACTCTAGTGGCCTACAAATTGTTATGGCAAATTGAGGCAAAGTAAGGCAAAGCCTTAAAAATATGTTCTCCAAATACAGTCACATAACCCATAGTCAGTCTACATGGCCTCATACTGGAAAAATATCGTGCAGAAAAAATGTTACAGATTCCAACAGATTTTGTTCTTTCCTTTTAAAGAACATACCTTTTGGATTAAAAAAATAAACATAAACTATAATTTAACCTCTTACTTGACAGTGAATAATATCAATAATATAACAACTTTATATTCTGGATTCAAAATATTCCTAATTTTTTAATTAGCCATAAATCAAAATATTTTAAAAATTACTTACATTCTGCATATTTTTGAAGTTGAGAGAATTCTCCAGGGCTAAGGTTAACCCACTTCTCCTGGCTCGTCATATCGGCAGTAAAGGTCCTCGATATATATATATCAGTAGAATATTCCCTTTGACCCAGGTGATATAAACTCCATAAAGACTTTTAGCTTCAGTTCACAGTGTTTGGGGTGTGCAGAGATGGCATCAGTCTATGTGGATGAAGATTTTGGTGCTATGGACTGTTCCAAATGCGTTGGTTCAGTGGCACGTTACAACACTGTTAAAAGATCAAATATTAGAACAATAAATACCAGTTTTCCTATGGGAATAATTGTCACTGAAAAATACTTTCTGATACACAGTTTTGCTCAAAATCCTTCCATATGTTATTTGTCCATAAACAATTTTACATGTATTTCCAAATTCTCATCCCCCTTTCATGCAGTTTCTACCTCTGTAGGACAGACCTTACAAAAACAATGCATTAGCAACACCACTCCTGGAACAACAGGTAGGCTACTTTTCATCTAATTTTAGCCATCTGAGAGTCAGATACATCATTTGAGATTGTCATCTCAGGCACTCCCCTTAATCATCAGAGACAGGTGATCCAGACAGCAATTAATCCCTCCAGTTTCAACATAATCTTGAAATGTGATGAATTGCCTTCCTGTGGTATTTATCTTTTATTGATTACAGAGGTTGCCTAGAAGACAAGTTTAGACTAGAAAGCTAATTTTAGACTGTAAATGGAACCTCTTCATATGCCTAGCAATGTATCAATTATAAGGGTCAAATTACAAAAAGAGCAAAGAAAAAATTCAGACCAGAAGAGACTAACACAGTAATGGAAAGAGTGCTAAGGAGGAAGACGTTGGTAGCTAAAAAAGAATAGAAAAAGCACAAAGATGTCATAAAGAGGCAGAAAGGAAAAAAGCTAGGAACAGAAATATATAACACTCCCTCCCTCCAGAATAACCTAATCAGACAAGACCTTTATTCTTTTATTTTTTCTGTCTTACATACATAAGTATCATTCCTGGACAAAGAAACTCACACAGGAAGATGCCTTAGTCCCAGAGCATGCTTTCATTGCTCTCAGGCCTTTCCTGATGAATGATTTGAATGCATGGACTATACTATGAGCAGCTAAGGCTAACTATATACAATAACAATTGCTTTGTTTTTTAAAAATTTGTACCACAAGAGATTCCTATGCTCTTCATCTCCTCAAAGGAGGATAAATGGTATGTTGGAAGACGTGGAAACACTGATTGAACAAATAACAAAAACTAACAGGAGTGTGGAGATTGGGATGAAAAAAAGCAACATTAATGGGGATAATGTTGGCCCAGTGCAAGGCACATCAGTCCTCAAACATCAGTGAATCAACATCAGTACCAGAAAAAGGTCAGCTACTACAAAAGCTAAGTGATATTCAGTAAGAAAAGCTATCATTCTGTATTGTGAACCTCAATCCTCATATTCATAACAAGAAAAAATAACTATGGTCAACGGGGCCATTTTAATCAAATTAGAGATGTTTCATTTCTAATAATTGATTAGATTGTATTGAAGACAGTTTTATTTCTTCAAATAGGTATATTTTTCTTATATTCTTGACAACTGATTAGATTTTACTGAATTCTTTTTTATATTTGCATGATTGATTTAATATAACCAAAATTTTCTACCACAATTTCATCCAGTTTTACTATTTGTTTCCTTAACTACATTAGCTTCATTATCTGCAACAGCTAGGCTCTACTGCCTAAAACTACTGTTGTAAGAAAAGGTATGTGACCTGAATGAGATGACAGCAAAAAATTTAGTACGGGCATAGCAGCTCACACGAAAGAAGGTGTAGTTTGTGTGTAAGACAGCAGTTGTCATGGAATAGATGACAGAATTTAAGGCTACATTTTTATACTGGAAAACTCTAAATGCAATTTCTGTCCTTTGAAAGGGACGGTTGTGGGGGATGTAGTGGAGCTAATTTGCCAGGTGTATTTGAAAACAGGAATGGGGAGGTAGGCAGTTCTCTGGGGATGGCTAGCTGGTCTTTGGCCTCCAGCCAGGTCCTGTACACCACCTCAGTGTGCGTGATGCAGGAATAAACAGAAACATAACGGGGAAGATCTTGGCAAAAGGAACTCTATAGGGGCTTCCTTTTTTCAGTTTCCTGTTAAGTTATGCTGAAGCAGAGTCCTAAATAAGGAAAAATCTCTGCATCCTTTAGTTTTTCACAATTAAACTTTTTACAGAGACATCTTTCCATTTTATATAGATAATATTGTATTTATAAGAAATCAAGAACAGTATATAGGTGCTGAGGACAAAAGCCATCAATGCCTATTTGTGTTACATGATGTTTACCATTTGTTAAGGTAAACGATGGAAGACCACCTATATACTATATAAATACCCTAACTTCTGTACAAAAAAATATTAATTTATATAACTTTTTCCAGTAGTGTTTAACATAAATGCATTCCTTTACACTATATTTTATTGCTCTTTAAGTACTCCGGGAAGGTCACGCAGTAAGAAACCTATACATAAGTACATGAAGAGGAAAGCAGTAACAGGGATGATACTATCACATAGAAAAAACAGAATGTTTAACTACAACAATAATCAAATGTGCTTGCTGGCAGGCAAAATAAAGATCAGCAGCTCTAAACAGACACACACAGTGATTTGACATGTTCATGCAGAGATAAATTACTCTGAAGAACACAATACAGCACACAGCTAAAATACACACGATGTCAGGTAGGGAGCTTTTCAGCAATCCTCTAAGAGTTTGACCTATTCTGGAAAACTCAGATCTATGCATACATTTTGCTAGCATACCCTTAGGCAAGATTCACAGCCCTCTCAACCAGACACAAAGCAGACCTTACAAATAAGAGAAACTAGAAACGCTGCATTAATAAACTATTCATTTTATCACAGAAAGAAAAAAAAAATCTTTCTCCTCTATCTACTGACTATAATAAGTCTTAGAATTCCAGTCTCCTTTTTATAACATTTTCCTTTCAGGATTTGAGAGTTTATTAAGTGTTCTGTCAGGATTCCTACCATATACCCAAACTAGGAAGCAAAGCTCTGTTAAAAAACTACAAATCAAATTATTTAGCATTCAGCCAACAATGCTAACAAACAGATTTCCTGGAATTCTCCATGCCACTGAAATCCTCAGCTGCTCTGCAGAAGCCAGGCTGAGGAGAGAAGAGAAAGAATTATGCAGTGGAGAAAAAAATATAGAGGCACATCCCCTAAATGCCAACCTAACCATTCAAATCACCTCATTCCACCTCAGTACAGTCCTCACTGCAAGAAAAGAGGAGTTTTTGGAGACTATGGAGAAAAAAAAATTACACCAGTCCCACCAGCAGTTTCAGCTTCAAACTTTGGCCCATGGAAACACACCCAGCTTCTCAACCAACCCAACCCCCTCTGTTTCCTCCTGAAAGGCAGGAGAGCTTCTTCTGAGGTCCATCCTCACTGCTGGGGTTACAGCAAGTTTCCTTCCAGGGAAACTACAGTTTTCCACAACAGGCCTCATAAGTGATTTTTGCCTAAACAATAGGAATAAATAACACAGAATATTTTATACCTTAATTGGTATGGAGGCTGAAGCAATAATGCCTTTCAAGAACTTTGTTAGCTAGATCCTGTGATTTCAGCATGGGTGACATCACACATTTTCCAAAGGAGAATTTTTACATGTCAGACAACACATGCTTCCACATGTGCCTGAAACACTTTTCTCTGTTCTCCGCAGAAAAACATGCTAGTAATCTCTAATTTCTTGGAAATGCAGGCATTATGTACAGATATACAAGACATATGTAGGTGTTCCTGCAATTCATTTTATACTTCGTAGAGAACAATGTCTGTAGTGACAGAAATACTCAAAATTTGCGTAGTTGAAAGTTTAGTAATGAAGAGTTTGACGGGCAAGAAATCTAAAGTATCTGCTAATCACCATTCTGGTTTTTTTACTCTCAAATACAGAAGTAGTGTAATTAATTATAATTGCTGCTAGATTAATGGCATGGATTAAAAAAAATGAGGGCCCATAACAAACCAGCACTGCTTTTTACTATATGATTTGTATATTTTACATAACAATATCCCTTGTTTTGCACCATATTTAGCATATAGTGCAATTTTTTTTTCAATTTAGCAAAAGATGTTTACTGATGTAAATTAACATAATTCTGAAATATAAACTATAAACATTGATACACTGAGACCAGTGACAATTTGCTTATCAAGCTGAAAGTCTCTCCCTTTAAAGGAGTGACCAACACAACTCAAAAGCACACTTACTTTCCTGATTATTCCCAGGTGTACTAGTCTGGGACATGTAAAAACAGCTATTTAAATTTTAATACAAAGATATGGACTGTATTCCTCAGAGAAGCAATTATTCAAATTCACTTCCTTGAATTATTTATATAGAATATATCAGTAAACACTGGGAACACATGCAACACAAGCCCCATCGTGGCATGATAAGCAAAATACTTGAATCTGAGAAAATATTTCACTAATGCTACAGCTTATGACAGTCAAAAATATTACCAACAAAAGCTGAGCTTCAATAAAAACTGCTCAGAATGCAAGACAGCAACATCATTGAATATAGTTACTTACATTTAAAATACAGGCATACATTTTTGACTGTAATTTTTGCTTTACTCTGTTATGGTTTAGCCCCAGCTGGCAAGCAAGTAGCATGCAGCCACTCACTCACCTATCCTGTGCCCCAGTGCGATGGGCTGGAGAATTCAGGAAAGAACAAAAAAAAAAGGTAAACCTCATGGATTGAGATACGACCAGTTTAATAATTGAAACAAAGTTGTTAAGAACAGTAATGATAATGAAAAGGGAGATACCAAAAGGAGAGAGGGGAGAAAAACAAGTGATGCACAATACAATTGCTCACCTTAGCAGCAATCAGCCTCCCCTGGCCAGCTCATCCCTGAGCAGTGATCAGCCAATTTCTCCCAGTTTATAAGAGAGCATGACATTCCATGGTATGGAATAACCCTTTGGCCAGCTGCCCTGGCTATGCTCTTTCCCTGCTTCTTTTGCAGCTCCTCACTGGCAGAGCATGGGAAACTGAAGAGTCCTTGACTTAGGGTAAGCACTACTTAGCAACAACTAAACAGTGTATTACCAGCATAATTCTCATACTAAATCCAAAACACAGCACTGTACCAGCTGCTGAGAAGAAAACTAACTCTATCCTAGCCAAAACCA